TGCTCAGCAGCAACATAATAATCATGAGGTCTAAAAATCTTGTGTTCAATCCCCGATAGGGTCATGTGTGATAATTGCCAAGAAGAACTCCTCAAGATAAAAACAGCTCTTCAATGCTCCGAGGTTCTTAGTGATTTTCTGACTGATGTCAACCATTTATGAACACCAACATGATATGTACTTTTGTCGTTTATTGAAACTTCCAGTATCCTGTTGAAGAAGCAATACTCTATACGGTTAAGCGCCTAGAAAAATTGTAAGCTTCACAACTTAGGTACATTGTATATCATGATTACTAGCGACACTATTTCTCGTAAAGAAGACAGTTTAAAACAAACCTCTCATATGCAAACAAATCTTTTACTTTAATATGGTGCTAAGTTCTTACTTTTCGAAGTAATTGAAAGATGATACAACTGTTTGATTTACTGAGACTCAGGCTAATCAGCAGTATACGCAAATAAGTTATTTCCTCACAGCTAAATATTTGAAATAGGTGGACTTTGGTTACTTGGTTTAAACTGATGTTCGTCTCGAATTCCACTGCCAACCACTGTTAGCTGTTTCATCTTAAACTGATGCTGCATTCGATAGCTATTTAGAAATCGATAAACATGTATTTTACAGTTGCTAAAAAAATTTTTTAACTCACTGTATATTAAAATCATCTTTCATCACAAACTTTAAGTTCAAGCAGTTGAATACTCATGAACATGAAATCTGATAGAGAATTCCTTACTGATTTACTTTTATTGCACAACATTTAAATTAATGTGTTATAAAATGTTGAAAACCAGAGAATATCGATGTGAACTGGTCGTTTTTCGTCAGCTTGATGTACATGCATTCAACCTTTTCTGTCCTATTTTTTATAGTCTTATAGGGACTTGTTCACTGACCAAGACTTAACTTCGCAAAGGATTATGGATTTGCAAAGCCAAGGAATCCCGAAGTAGAACGAGGTAGCTACAAAATGCTCAGTAATTACTTAATGCTCTCTAATGGTTTTGATTCATAATGGTTACTCTAAAGTCAGCGAATTCTCTAAAGACTAGCCATTAGCCCTTTGCTTGAACTCAGTTACTGAGTGTTGAGTTTTCGAAATACCTCTTTTTGACAGCTAATTTTGTTTTTAGGGGAGAGCGGTACACAAAAGTAAATTTATCATAAAAGTATACCTTTAAACTGATCTCGGGGATACGTTAAAAATATTATGACTCACAAAACAGATTATTTAATCAGTGGAATTCAATGGGACATGAAATAAATAATCTACAACCAAACATTCATTGTTCTAAAAATGTTTAGAACTCCGTATAATCGTTTGCATTTTGTTGTCACATTCAATGGGTTGTTTATCGATGGCTTGGGAAATTAATATCAATTTCAATCTTTAAACATAACAGTCTTATGTAAACACTTGTGAAGTTACGCAGAAACTTCGTGAATCATGGGCCAATGAAGTTAATGAGTATCATTTAGTCTGATTTCTTCCATTTGGTAACTTCTCATAAATGTAATGAACTGGTTTCATTTTATGCCTATTCATCCAGTCTTTTGATAGAGACAGTAGCTATCATTTCAGAAAATGTGTCCACTTTTGAAACATAAGAACATGAGCACGTGAGAACCACATTCGCTGCACTGTAAATTTCTCTAACTATATTGTGGCAATGTAAGCACCAGATGGCCATTCGCCTTCCTTTGATACCGGACTCATTACAGGAATCTATGAAAGATTTCAATTGGCAGATCGCAATCGTTCATCTAATTTCCTACTGTCTAAATTTTACTTACTGGTTTGGATGGATCTATATTCCATGGAACAGAATACATTGCACACAACAAATGTGAGACACGTTGATGGGTCCATAATATTATAGTAGATTTCCCCATCAGGACACTCTACATACATGATAGTATTCATCGAATCTCAGAGCTTACAAGTCAACCTAAACAAGTAGACAGTGACTAATTATTCAGCTCGACAAATAAGTAGTACAGCCTTTCTAAAATTGAAGTCTAGTGATTGCATCACTCTAATCTGACTAACAAAACTTACAGATCAGTATAGATGGTTTCTGAATACTTTTGTTTTCCTGTAATACATTTTTTTAGTTAATGACACTTTATGATTTTGAGCGTGTGAATTTCAACAGAAATGAAATCGAGACCAAGTTTGGTCAGTTAAAAAACTACTCAGCCATGAAAAGCAAATGAGTTGATTAGATTGATTTATTTCTCAGTCCGAGTTTTGTTTATCAGATCCGGGGATGAACTAATCCGAACATTCATACCTGAGCTGTCACTATTCTCCACTACTTCCAATGCTTTAAAATATCCTGGTTGTACTGTTTTCTCCGAGATGGATGATATGTTTGTAAAGCGTCCGGTTTCTTCGTAAATGATATCATCAAGATTGACTTCAGTAACCTTTTTTTGACGTCGGATATAAAGTTTGTTTTAACTGGGTGTAACCCATTGATACTTCGACTTATGAACTTAGTTACCATCACATTTTGTCATAAATGTAGTTTCTTTACTGAAATTATATTCTGTAATCGGAGTAGGATTTGTAGAACAAAACAAAATGGTTTTGTTTCACAGGATTTCTTTTACCTCCATAAAAATATGAATGAACAAATGTCAGGACACAGAAGTTCGTGTGATATCAGTTCATATGTTAGACATGTAAATTTAGTCAGTAAGACTGAGAGCATATTTATTTATTAGATAAGTAGATGAATGTCTTTGAATTGTTACAAGAAATTAATATATCACTAGAAATGGTTATGCATTTATGTTAAAGGTGTGTTTAATACAATGAAAGGTGGGTCAAATACGATATTATTGTAAAATCATGCTAAAGAAAATAGTATGAATAACAAACAATGAAGAGGATGGGAACAGCAAAAGATGCATATTTAATTGGGTCTAATGGAGGCGGGAGTGCAGATAGATTAGGTATGCATTGAGAAGACCATTTGGGGACATTACGCGACACGCCCTTGAGCGGAACCCAGATGGGAAATGACGAGTTGGGCGTCCGAGGGCGACATGAAGGAGATTGTGTTTGTGAGAGATGAGAACTTTTGCGTTCAAAAGATTTCAGAGAACAGAGCGCACTGGAGACGTGCTAATGAATTCTTATGTTCTACTTGGAATCCAAAGAGACAAGTAATATAATAATGATAATAATAATGGAGGCGGGTGGTGATTTTTGAAGAATAAAAGTAGCACGTAGGTATCATGACCAACAACAGACTGGCTGGTTTGGAAAAACCTAGACATTGAGTTAATATGATTCACTGTATAAAAATAACCATTCTTACTTTTATGAGACATATTTTGGGTTGTATTCACTTTGTGGCTTCTACTTCAACTAATTAATAGGTGACTGAAGTCTTCATTCTATTGACGATTAAAAAAGCCTCTGCCCTGTACTGATTATTTCACTTGGTATTACACTGCATCAAGTAATTGCATCATTATCCAAGCTCAAACTTCTCTAAACACGCCCCATAATCAAGATGGATAACTGATGAACTGGCTAACACATGGCATAGGATCAAACTAACCAATTATTCCGCAATTACTAGAGTTTTCAGGTGTTCACTATAAATGTCTACGTAACTCCCAAAGACTCCTGTTTCTTAAATGAGCACTGATTATAGAATTCTATTTGGCTTACAATCGTAAGTGACATGACCTCAAAGTTGGGAAAAACCTTATCATAGACAATCTCCCCATAATATTTGTCATAAATACAGTACTTTCTATGTGCATCTACTGAAACCTTGTGATGTGAAATAGATTCACTTAATTCTGCACTTTTTTACATATAGGACATTTTTGTAGACACTGTTTCAGTATCATTTTGACTATCTGAGATAGCAGTGATTTGGCAGACTATTAATGGTGCTGAGTGAAGGTAAAATGAAAACTTGGACCTTGGTCTCATTCGAAACAGCGACCACCGGATTTCCATCTCAATGCTCTACCAACTGAGCTACAAGGTTGCATTGGTGACCAGATTTTTATTCCACTTCAATCACCGAGGGTTTTTTCCGACTACCATGTGAATTCTTGAAGCCTTACCTTCGCTTGATCGTACTCACACTGCCTGCCTATTTAGGACTTCTCATCCGAATCCAAACTCAACTGTTTAAGTAGATAACGCAATTGTTTGAACAAAAACTACTTTTGTAAATCGCTTTCAATACAACTAAGACTACATAGATGCCTGGTCAACTATTTACATGTATAAATACCATGAATAAAGGGCAACTCGATATGACTCACGGTAGGTCTCAGACTCCTACTAATGTCATGATATTAGGATAGTTTGATTAAAAAGTAACTTCTTCAGAAACTACAAAGTGTTACATCGGTATTTGTTTGTCGTACACCTAGGTTATCAATGTGGATTGGGTGATCCAAATGTATAGAAAAGTATTTTCATTTCTGTCAGTAATATATGCAAAAGGTTATAGGTTTCCGAATCAAGTTTGAATTCTACGTTCTCAACAAGTTTACTCATTGGGTAAGTGGTATTTATTATACCTGTATTTCTGTTTTCCAATGAATGTGAAAGAAATAAGGTTGTCTTAATAGTGACAAAATAACCTTATTTTGTTTTATATCGATTAGGATATACAAACAGCAAACTAATTTGTAGTTATCTTTTCCACTGTCCAACTATGTACTCAATAGAGTTACAATTGTAAATCAACTAACAAGGATCACGGATTATTTTCTGTCTCAAAAATATATCACCAACCTTGAAAATATATTAAAACCGAATAAAAATCTTTTTCAACTGGCCATTTGTGACTTGACTAGTGAAATTCGCTGCATATCTCATTGGTTCATAATACATTTTTCTCACAGATCATAACTGGTCAATTTTAACGAAAATGATGTTGATATAACACCTGTGAAAAAAATATCAACCTGGAATGTACGATTTGTTAATAACTAGCAGTAGGAAACAACGCTTTGTTTACATCAATGTCATGCCAATGCAAAACATGGGAAGCTTTGTGTTTAGGGCAATTTTTTTCAACTTTAGTTGGAATATAAAATTCATTTTATTTCAGATTATACATCTAATGCATTATGAAATTCTCATGACACACCATTTTAACAGATATAATATTTTCAAATGAAATGATTATAGCATCAAAAACACTATTATAAGCCATATGATGTCAAGACCTTCTTTTGTTAGGATATTTATTTTTCAGTCTATATGTACAATTTAGTAGGAGAAATCAAACACGAGATCATGTACACGTTTAATGATGTTGGCTAAGTTATTTAGCATGAAAGTCTTAATTGAAGCTATCTATTCCAGAAGTAGTTACATCACATACTATTATCCACTTAGTAAGCTATTGTCATTCACTATGATGTTTTCTTGTAATTTTATTAATGAACTGTAAAGTGATAGATTGAGATCATCTGAAAAAAACCATGGAAGTATATAAGACGATTTAAAAATACGTCTGAGACATTAAAACAAGTTAGAAAGAATTAATTAAGTGCAATATATTTGATTGCACACTTCCAGCAAACGAGTCTAAAGGTTATGTAATACTTTTTTGACTTTGTGGTCTATGTTTTCTTCACGTAAGGTGATTAAAATTCAAAGTATAGGTGAAAAAAATACTTTATAAACGGGAGTTTCTTCGATAATTAGTGTAAAGTTAGCATTGACATTGATCAGCTAGTCTTTATCAATATAAATTAAGGCATGTCTACATATTAGATCAATGCATTTTTGATGGAAGAACTTGTTTTACATCCGAAAATTAGCCTTCATCAGCTGTTGAAAAATTCTAAGTATATGCTCGGAGAAACTCAGCAATTTCAGCAAAATATTTCCATGATTTCATACTAGTGGACTTCATGAGTTTATTTCCGACTTTCTTCCAGGTTTTCCGCTCAGATGATTTCAGTAAATAAATGGACCAAACCAGGTAACGGATAATAATGTCCATGTCTTATTCTCAACCACCGCTTACATTAGAAGAATATTTTTGTTCCAATTCGTCAGAGATGACTGGCACATCTTTACAATCATTGCCTCAAGAACAAAAATTCAACATTCTTCCAAACTGCACATCTAGTTCTTTTAAACAGCCTACACTTCAAGAAGGATTAAAAGATGCATTATCAGCTGAAAGCTGGTCTTCATCTTCAGCATATAAAATCAACAAACCATCCATCAAAACAAATCAACCTTCTTTGTCGTCAAGACAACAGCTAAGACGATCAAATACTGTTGGCGCTTCAGATGTGACAAAAACAGGAGACGGAAAGTTATTATTAAATCATTTAACCAATAAATTCACTGGCAATCTATCAGTTGATGATTTAATACGAAATGCAAAACAACAGGGTAAAAGTACAACATCCTCAGGGTTATCAACATCTACAAATGTGCGGAACCTAATGAATGACAGCTTCAACCTCAGCCATTTAGATAACAAGCCTACTCAACAAAGATTTCTTCATCGAGCACAAAGTGAGCACCATTTTCGTGGTGGTAATGCATCAAGTACTACTATTGTACCCACAACGACAACAATTACTAATAATAATAACAGTAGTAGTGGTAGCAACAATCTAACAACGTATTCTAACCTCTCTGGTCTTGAACGTAATGATGTACCTTCAACTCTTCGATCTATACTATCTCAACGGGGATATAATTTTGGTAAATCACTATGGCAACAAAACTTTACACCTGATCAAAGTGAACACAGACCAACACTAGGTGGGTAAGTACACTAAGTAATAATATTTTTTAACAAATAAATAAAAATTTTAATTATTATTCCATGAAAAGGTATTCCAAAGTCTTGCAGTGAATCGACCAATTTTCAGTTATGGAAGGAAGATAAAATTGATTTTCGCACATTTGTCATTCAATGGGTTCAGTGCGTAGATCACATATTTACTTGGTAAGTTAAGTTTAAAGCAAGAAGTTCTAAAGCATATGATGTTAAGCTCATAGAAAATTGCACATTTTATGCAAAAACAGTTTGAAACTTCATTTCGAAATTTTTGATGTTATAGTTAGTGAATACTGACATGATTGATAGAACATCAGTCAGTGTGAAGGACTTATTTAAGATATGATTATTTCAGAAATTTTCCAAAATAGTCAAAACGAATTCACTACTTTACTGATAGTAGGCAACAGGAAGCAAATTGAATCCTATCTAATAATAAGAAGGCACATTAATGTATAAGATGCGTTATACCATGCAGTTAATATGTGATCACATTGTTTAAGTCACTAAACATGGAAGTCCAGAATGTAACTCTACAGACCGGTGATATCAGACAATACTTATTATTTGAAATCTAAAATGAAAATGGTATTCAACTGACAACGTTAGTTTGCCTTGAAATGAAGCTAGAACCAGTCACCTTTTAAAAATGATGACACTATTTCGTCAGTGAGTCACGTTTCGATCAAATAATATGCAAATAAGACCCTTCACTGGTGTTTTTTTTTCTCAAATCCTAAGAATTAATATGCAAAATTAAACAAGATTTTTATTTGCTTATCTATATTCATGTTGATTCATTTCAAAGTTGGTAAAATAAACTTAGAGATTATTCAAAACAGTCTCACCGTGTGTTTCAGAATGCAAACGTTTTGTTCCAAAATGAGTTCAGTGTAATTTCACAGATTCTCGCCAAGAACCCAGTATAGTCTTGAATCTTGTTTTCAAACACTTCAAAGCTTTAATGAAGGTAGTGAGTAGATATAAATGTATAATGATATCATTTGAGGAGGAGGGATAAGCAGGATGCTCTTCTCGATCTAGATTTCATGATTGTCGGTACTCAATAACAAAACGTGTCTGAAACCCCGAAGTTTGACATAGGTTTTATGCACATTGGAACTTGTCGGCAAAGCAGATCTGCATCATAGAGAAAAGTGGCGTTATGCCTAGTCTTCTAGCATGGTGACAGTATTACAAAATGATCAACAGAATTTTATCAGGGCTTGGGAAGAGAAAATATCAACTTAGTTACCCTTCAGTGACCAATCCACTCATAGTACAAATATCAACTACTTGTATACTTAAGCAGAAAAGAACATATTATCGTTATCATGAAGGGTTTAAGGAAACTATTGCCTATTTACAACTAATTATCGCAGCCTGAAAAACCTTTCAGTATAACGTCCAAGAAAAGGAAACATATCCATTATATCACTTCTAGGTTGAGAAATATTTTTGTCTGAATCCTGTTATACTAAAGCATAAGCATTCATAATTTTTTTTCGTGTAAAAAATACATACAAGAACTGATTACGTAATTTTCGAGTAGTAGTTATTCATACTGTAAGAGAATTTAAAGACTTAAAAAAGTGCTTAACGGAGTAATTTACAAAAGTTTGTATGATTATCAAATAAAAGTGGTTAAAATACCCCAAAAATCAATAATTCCAGCTGAAACACAAAGTGAAGCAAAATTATCGTAATGTTGTGCAATAAGTTTATTCAGATCCTTTGAAGAAGTCCAATATCCCTGAAGAACTTCAAAACCAATCAGCATACTTTATCTTTTTAAGGAAAAATAAGTGACCATTCATGTGAATATCATGTTGGCTGAAAAGACAAAACCCAAACGGAATACTGTTTTAAAAAAGCCTAGAGATAACGAAGGCCATTATATAAATAGGTATGAAGCGCCTTTTTTTCATAGTTTTCGTGTTGCAACACCTATTTTTTACTTGCTGCGGAACTAAGCAACGGTCGAGAGAAAAACTAAAGTTTACTGTTCAGTTGGCTACATGTACAAATCGGGTCACACCGGAGAACAAAACTTCATTCACAGGTCGTGAATATTTAGTCATATGGAGAGTTAGGAATGATACAAAAAATTGCAAGGGTCAAAGGAAAAGTTAAATGACAACTGGATGGATTCCACTGACTTGTGAACAGGCAATACGGTGGAAGAAAGAAATTAATGCACTCAGAAGTTCACCCTGGGTATGAAAAGTACAAGTTATTAACATGGTAACAGGCGACATTTGACTCTTGAAATATCACAGAAAACATATCGAACTTGAGAAGGCAAGGCTACTAGACTAATCAGATGGGGGATAGTTAAATTAGCGACTTTAAATAATCTCTTATGATCCTATTTTTATTTATATTGGTGCCTATTTTGAATTCTTAGGTAAGCAATTTATCTCAGATACTTAAGCCTCAATTGTCTGTTGACGTAGCCAAAAATCACTTCCAACAAAATTACATAAAGTATACTGACTGACCAGTGAGCAGTAATCACCACTTTATCATCTGATATTAATTCGATCCACAGTTTGTGATGCTTTGTTAATTTTACTTTTCAGTCAGTATCTTTGTGCATCAATCTAGATTATTCACTGGAATGAAAGTGTTCACAGTAATTAATAAGGTGATCACATGATACGATGTATGCGAAATAAAAGACTAAATATTCTTTCAAATTCCACTTGGAGTACTTGTGTTTAGGATAAAAGAAATAAAAAAGGCAAGAAGACATGAACTCCACTTTTATTATGGGCAAGATGTGAGATAATGATTTGCAGAAAATCTATGAACAACGAAAAATAACTAAGTTGTAAAATTTCATTCTAACAAGATATAGTAAATATTGCAATCAGCTTTCAGTTGTCAGAATATTGATTGTTGGGCACTGTTGACATAGATTTTCTTGATGTAAACAAACTGTTTTAAGTTTAACGGTTGGACAGGATATCACAAGGGTTTCTTTACAAATTTCTAAATATCGTAAAGTGGATTTGAATCTCTTTTTACTGATAGTTTGTTTTAATGTAAATAAGTCTGTTGGAGTTGGATTTCAGTATTGCTCTGCTATTATCTAGATGCTAATTAAATCAATGCAGAAGTAGTAATCTAACTGACCCAGTCGGCAAAGATCAGCTCTCTGCTATAAAGTGAGAAGATTGTTATTTGTAAGTGTAAACTGTAGACTATGAGACATTTTGATAAGCAGAAATGCTGAGACTTCTGTCTTTATCCCAATATTTTCAAATGTCTTCATTCCTAATAAAAACGGTGTAATTGATCTGATTTATTGCATAATCTGTATGCCACTTTAAACTTCACACAACAGAAATCGACTGAAATCTCGTTTGAAATTCCTTTATATTTTTCAGAATGAAGTTGTTTTTAACACCTAATAGCTTTTTAATTTTGCATAATGCAAGAACAAAGACATTTGAATTGCAAAATGTACGCGCAACCTTTCATCAGCTGCAAACAGCCTACAACTGAAATGAAATATCAGTAGTAATAGTGATATAGCATATTTTAAATATGTGAAAATAAATGAAGATTCAAAATCCAGGAGCTGCGAGATTTGACCGCTGACCAGAATTTTATTTCACTTCAGTCACCAAGGGTTTCGTCCGCAGATCAGATTTACATCTAACCTTCAATCATTACCTAATACAAATACTAGTCTGCCAAAGCACAGCTATCTTAAACAGTCAAATCATAATCAATGTGACGCTCCCTCTTTCTTATTCAGTTAGATTAGGATTAGGGTCAGAAGTCCTGACTATGCAGTCAGTGTGAATACGATCAAATAATGGTAACGCGTCACAGATTCACACGGTAGTCGGGCAAAATATTTGGTGATTAAAAGGAAAAAAATTCCGGTCAGCAGTCGGACCTCGTAGCCCAGTTAGTAGAGCACCGGGCCAATAAGCCGGGTGGCCGCCGGTTCGAATCCGACCGCGGTCCAAATTTTCATCTCACCTTCAGTCATCCACAAAAAGTCAAAATCAATTTGTAATTGGTGAGGTAGAAAATTTCGCAGTCGTAAAAAGGTGAGACAACATACAGACAGAAGTGTTAGAGAAGGGGTCAGTAAGGAACTAATGGACTACCCAATTATCTGGAAAAAATTTGACAAAACGGTAGGCTGTGTTAATAACAGCCAGTAAATAATAGATGAAGAAATGTTGCAATCCGAATTATTTTTATGAAGAACAGATATCCGAAAAAACGCATCATGAAGCTTGGACAAAATTCATCTATAGACTTAAATACCCAGCTATTTAGAAGAAATCTGTTTTCCTTCTAGCAGCATTTAAAAGCGAAGACATACCTGTAAGGTTAGACAGGAGAATGAAAACAGCATTTTGAAAGAGCTTCCTTACTGCCAGAATGATCTCAGACTACGGCAAAGTATGCTGAATAACACAATCAAAATTAGACAGATAGTCAGCTCACGTCACATCCACCTGCGTATTTCAATTTACTTGTGCTTGTGGAAGCCATTTCCAAGAAATCTGTGTCCGGAAAGTAGCGAGGTCTTTACTACTGCATTTGCCAGGCGCGTAATGGAAATAGGTTATCCAATAGATGTTTCGAAATCCTTCAGGATAGTAAATAAATGAAGTAAGCCTTGTTCATAATGGTGTGCGGAAGCCATCGAAAGCAAACATTTTTAAACTGGCCTGCTTACCAATAGAGAGACGTATATAATCGTAATTAACAGAGAACTTTTATTTCAGTCACTAGGTATATGCGGCTGATGCAGGACGGTGATGTGAAATGAGCCTGTTTTGTTCTGCAAATATCCTTGTTCTTGCATTATTCAAATCTGTCAAGGAAAAGTATTGTGTGGGAATTTTGATTGTTAGAAGTATCATTAATTCTCACTGAGGTAGTTTTGTAACTAGGTGTTAAACTGATAATGAAACGGAAGAGACAGGCAGATGAAACCCTCGAGAAGCGCGATC